ACAGGGGTGCACTCTGCCACACGGTGAATAGGAAACCCACATTTCTCTTCCTACCACGGGGCACTTCCCGGGTCTGTGCAGACTCTGGGCCCAGGAGAGGCTCAGGGTTTGCAGAGGTGTGTGTGTGGGGGGCGGGGGGAATGGGGACAGCCTGCAGGGGAAGATTTTGTCACACCAGGCACCTCCCCCTCCTGACTGTCTGTGGATGTCTTTCTTTGCCCCTCTCCCTTGATATTGCAGGAACTGTTACGGTCTTTTTTCTTGGTTCTGTGAGCTCTTCGGTCATCGGGCCCGGGGAATCCCGGATGAAAGGCCCAGGCCAGGTTCCAGGAGGAGGGCCCCAGAGAAAGTGGTTCCTGGCAGCCCTGCCGAGAGATGGGGCTTATTTTTAAACCTAAACAGATGGGGCGCTGGGAACCAAACACAGGCGTGGCTTCCAAATTCAAGGGACAGGTTTAAGAATGCCCTAGGATGTGAGATTGTGTGTGCGTGCGTGTGTGTGTTTTAGTTGAGGATTGTTTGACATACACCGTTATGGTAATTTCAACTGTGTAACACAAACACTCACTATAAAAATTGGATTGTTTTTTTGCTATTGAGTTGTAGCAGTTCCTTATGTATTTTGGACCTTAACCCTATCAGATACATATGACTTGTAGATATTTTCTCCCACTCGGGAGGCCGGGTTTTCCATTTTGTTGATGGTTTCCTTTGCTGTCCCACTTTTAGTTTGATGTCCCACTTGTCTATTTGTGCATGTGTTGCCTTTGTTCTTGGTGTCAGATTTAAAAAGTCATCGCCAAGACCGATGTCAAGGACCTTAACTCTGTTTTCTTCTAGGCATTATTTTATAGTTTCAGGTCCTATGTTTAAGTTTTTAATTGCTTTTGAGTTAGATTTTGTATATAGTGTAAGAAGGTGGTCCAGTTTTCCCAGTACCAGTTACTGAAGAGACTGTCCTTTCCCCAATGCATATTCTTGGCTCCTCTATCATAAATTAATGGACAGTGTATGTGTAGGTTCGTGTCTGGGGTCTGTATTCTAATTTTATGTCAGTACCATACTGTTTTGATTGCTTTTGTTTTGTAATATCGTTTGAAATCAGGGAACGTGATACCTCCAGATTTGTTCTTCTTTCTCAAGATTGCTTTGGCTATTTGGGGTCTTTTGTGGTTCCATACAAATTTGAGGATTGTTTTATTTCTGTGGAAAATGCCATTGGAATTTCGATAGGGATTACATTCTATCTGTAGATTGCTTTGGGCAGAATGGACATTTAAACAATATTAATTCTTTCAAACCATGAACACGGAATATCTTTCCATTATTTGTGTCATCTTCAAGTTTTCTTATCAGTGTCTTAGAGTTTTCAGTGTACAGGTCTTTCACCTCCTTGGTTAAACCTGCTCATAGATATTCTTTTAGATGCAATTACAGATGGGATTGGTTTTTTTTTTTTTAAAGATTTAAGAGAGAGCATAGAGTGAGAGAGCATGAGCAGGGGGATTGGGAGAGGGAGAAGCAGGCTTCCCGCGGAGCAGGGAGCCTGACACGGGGCTCGAGCCCAGGACCCTGGGATCATGACCTGAACCGAAGGCAGACACTTAACCGACGGAGCCACCCAGGCACCCCATATGGGACTGTTTTCTTACTTTCTCTTTTTGATGGTTTGCTCTTATGTATAGAAACACTGCATATTTTTGTGTATTGATTTTGTGTCCTACAACTTTATCGAATTTGTTGATTGGGTCTGAGTTATTTGGTGGAATCTTTAGGGTTTTCTATATGTAATATCATGTCATCCCACAAATAGTGACAGTTTTACTTCTTCCTTTCCAATGTGGATGCCTTTTCTTTTTCTTAATGCTCTGGCTTGGACTTCAGTATATGCTGAATAGAAGTGGCGTGAGTGGACATCCTTGTCTTGTTCCCGATCTTAAGAGGGAAAGCTTTCAGCTTTTCACCATTACGATGTTAGCTGTGGGCTCGTCCTAGGTGGCCTTTATTACGCTGAAGCATGTTCCCTCTATACCCACTGTGTTGAGAGTTACCATAAATGGATGTTGAATTTTATCAGATGCTTTTCTGGCATCTCTTGAAGGTGATCACGTGTTTTATCCTTCATTTTATTCATGTGACGTATCACATTGATTTGCGGCTGTTGAACCATCCTTGCATCCCTGGAATGAATCCCATTTGTTTATGGTGTATGATCCTTTTAATGTATTATTGAATTCAGCCTGCTAATATTTCACCGAGCAGATAATAGTCTAACAGGGCTTCTTAACCCACTGCGTGGCAGGGGCTTCTTTTTGGCATGTTTTCAAATGCCTAAAATAAAGTACAAAGGGTTTTGAGGCACGTGGGCCGGCTCAGTCCGTTAAACGTCCTACTCTTGGTCTCAGCTCAGGTCTTGATCTCAGGATCGTGAGTTCAGGCCCGTTGTTGGTGGAGCCTACTTGAAAAAGAAAATACAAACGGTTCTGAAGGAAACCAGTTACATTAGATACAGCTCTTCCCACAGACCACCCTGGGTGAGGCAGCCTTGCTGCTCTGGGCGGTGCAGAGCCCCTGAAGCTTGCTGCCCCCAGGGGCCGCGAGCGGGTAGCTGGGTCCTCAGCAGGCAGATTTGGGGTGAGTCTGGGGAGGCGGCTGGGGTAGGACAGGGCGGTGGGCGTGAGGGAGGCTGCGTGGCCTGGGTGGGAGCCCAGCTCTGCATCTGCTAGCCGTGTGACCCGAGTGAGGGCGGGCGCGATGGGGGGTGACACCAGCAACAAGGGCAAATGCTTCCTTCCCGGTGTGCACCGTGCCCGGGCGCGGTCGTCAGTGGGGCTGCCAGTCGTCGGCCCTTCCCCCGGCCCTGGGAGCTGGGTCCTCCTGTTGCCACTGGCAGGCAGGGGCCTGACCCAGAGGAGCTGAGCCGCTTGCGCAGAGCTGCCCATCCCAGGTGTCGGCCCCAGCGAGGCTGCCGCTCGCGTTGGAAAGCGCGAGGGTCCCAGCTGCTGCGTCTGTGGCCACGTGGCCATGTGGCACTGGGGCTGCCACCCCCTCGCCTGTCCTGCACACTTGACCTCCTTCAGCCCCGTGCTCAGCCACCCCTGCCGTCCCCCCGGGATGTCTGGGGTCTGTGGTGGTGTTCTTGCCGTAGCCGCCACCGGAACCCCGTGGTGCCTTTCCTGTGGGCACTTTGGGCCCCAAAGTATCGGTGACTTTATCCAGTGTCCGTGTGTCGGGCATGGGCTCCATCTGCAGTATAGACCGTCCGGGCAGACTGCAGTTTCTCTGGCCCTAGAGCGGGTGACGGCCTTGATGGTCCAGGTGAGGGTGTCCCCAGGTCACAGGAAGGGAAAAGGGGGGTGGAGGACAGAGATGGTGAGGGGGATGGGTGGGACTTAGGGACGGGGAGGAAGGGCCTCATGGGGGGTGACGCAGAGGCTTCTTGCGTGCCTGGGGCCTCAGGAACAGGTGTCGCCCCGACCCAGCGAGCGTGAGCTGGGGCGGGGTGGGCGTGCGAGAGAAGGGAGCGTGTGGGTGTGAGGGCCGCCCGGAGTGGGCCAGAAAGGGACAGTGCTCCAGGTGGGGCCGGCCCGAGCCCAGCAGGCTGCGCGCTTCGCTTCCCAGTGGCCCAGCGCTGGCCCCGGCCGGGGCTCCCCACCGTCCCCCACAGGCCTGGGGAGGACCCTGCAGACTGGTGATGAAGAGCCTGGGAAACGGAGTCCCTGGCATTCTCTGCGGGCGTCTGCCCAGTTCCTGCCGCCCTCGTACCCCCCACAGCACCTGCGAGGTGGGGAAGTGTCGCCTTGTGTCACGGGTGCGGGGGCCGGGGGCCAGAGAGGCGTGCCTGAGGTGGGTGGAGGGGGACGCATGGGGTGGGCGTCTGTCCGTCTGTGCCCCTGGGGAGCATTCCTCACACGCATATTGTCATGGGGCCCAGCGCCGCTCTGGTCTTTCACAGGTGGAGAGCATGTACGGTAACGGAGGCCGCGCGGGATCGGGGGACGCGCGCCCAGGGGTCCCGAGGCCAGGCCAGGGCTCGGGGCTCGCCCCCAGCCTCTTCTGCAGCCCCAGGAAGTGGCGGAGTTCCGCCCGGGCTTGGCAGAGGAAGGAGCTGGTGGGGCGCCCGGGAGGGCCGGGGCTGGGGGACTCGCTGACCTTGATGGAGCCCCCGCCCCGTGCCGGCATCCAGGGCCCCACGGCCTCTGAATCCGCCCCCCTTCAGGAGCCTGAAAGCTGTGTCTGCTCACGGGGTGGGGAGGCGGTCTGTCAGCAGGAAGACTCACACTCCCCCGATCTGGGCTGCCGGGCCTTTGCACGGCCGTTTAGCCTCCGGCCACGCCCTGCCCCTGCCGGAGGGGGCGCCCCCAGCAGCCAAGCGAGCACCCTCGTTCTGTCCCCCGCGCTCCGCAGCCCCCGGCCGTGCCCGCTGTCCTGTCCCGCACCCGCCCGCACGTGTCTCCTGAGCACGCACTATGTGCCGGCCGGCTCGGCGTACAGCAGTGACCGTGGGGACTGCCGTCTGGCGAGGGGACACAACTGAGCACGCAGGAGACTTGAGGGCAGAGGTGGCAGGGGCCCCGGAGATTCTGGCCTTCCCGCTTCGCTGGTCCCGGCCCAGCGGCAGGGCTGGTGCCCCGGGAGCGGGAGACATCTGGAACGGCTGACGAGCAGGTGGCTGGTGCATCACCGCGGTCACTGGCAGCAGGCGGAAAGGCTGCCCACAGGCCGGCTCCACTGTGTGTCCCAGTGTCCATGATGCTCGATCGTGCCTGTACCCCCAGCTCCCCACACAGGGCCATTTACAACAGAGAGAGCTTGTGGACGTGGTGAGAAGGTTGTCCCGCTGAGCGCTCGTCCCCGAAGCCTCCCGGGGCTCCGCTGGGGCTCCGACCACAGACGGGCTCTGCGTCCGCCGCTGCGCGTCCGCCTGGCTGGCGGGCTGCCCCCCGCGCCCCCCACGCCGGCCTTCGCAGCCCCCCTGACGGGCCCAACTCTGCCCACAGGTGTCCGTGCTGGTCCTCTTCGCCCTGGCCTTCCTCACCTGCGTCGTCTTCCTGGTCGTCTACAAGGTGTACAAGTATGACCGTGCCTGCCCCGATGGGTTCGTCCTCAAGGTAAGGTGCCCCAGGAGGGGCCCAGGGCTCTGGCCAGGCCCCCCGCCCCCCAGGGGACCCTTGCGGGAGGGAGCAGGGAAGGGAGGCAGGAGGAGAAGGCGAGGCGGCCCAGTAGCAAGGCGGCTCCTGGGAACTGACCTAACCCGGGGCAGCAGAGACCCAGAGGGAGGAAGGGCTTGCGCGAGGGGGGCTGGGGGCAGGGCTGGGCACATGCCCCCCACGGCGGCCCCCTCGGCTGGGCTCTCCGCGTGCGTGCAGATGCGTGCTTTGCTCGGACGCCTCCACGTTCCAGAAGGCCTGCAAGTGGCACCCAAGCAGACCCGGGGAACAAGAGGACTAAGTGAAGACCAAAAAAGGACGAGGCGATGAGGGGGAAGAGGTGAAGCACGAGGAAGTAAAATGGACTCGCCGTGGACCTGCTCCCATTTCCCCCGCACTCGGCATCTGGGCCCCACATTCGGTTCCGAACTCCCCGCAGCCAGGGTGAAGAGGGAAAAGGATCATTGGCAGGATCTGGTGTTGCAGAAATTAAAGCAGGAGAAGCCCACGCCGAGCGCACACGCGGACGGGCTTGGTTTGTCAGCTGCCACCCGGTGACTTTGCTTTGGGGTTTGGTGACGTGAGGGACACAGGACCCTCGCACGAGTTAGCAGGCAAAGCCAGAGTTCAGGGTGCCTTCCAGCCCTCCCGCTGCGCGGCGGGTACGTGTGTGGGCCTGCCGTGTGGCCGCGGCGGTCGCTGTTACTCCGGCCAGGACCCGTCGGCTGAAGAGCCCCGCCTTCGGGACGCTCCCTGCTATTCTCAAAAGAAACGTGAAGTCAGTCGTACACTGAGTTAGGTTATAAGCACTGGAAAGCAGGAGAGCAAGGCAGGTTCTAGAAGGACGGTCATGTTCGAGCAACGCTCATAGGAGCCCAGTGACGGAGCTGTGCAGGGACCTGGGGGACACCCCTTGTCTTCACGAACCCGTCCACCCCCCCGACGGGCTGGGAGAGGTTATGGTCTGCTTGGAAGCTCAGGAGGCACCATGGTTTAAAGGAGGCCAACCCAGAGGGCCTGGGGGCTTCGAGGAGGGGAGGGCTGCCCTTGACCAAGCAAGCGCATTCGCTGACGCTGGAGGCCGGCAGGGCCAACCCAGGCTCGGGGAGCAGCAGCGCCGCGGGTGACCGCAGGGCGGGGCAGGTCTGGTCAGCCTGGAGGACTGGGGGCAGTTGGACGTGAGCCAGACTCTGCAGACGTCACGGGCCAGGCAACGGCCCCCGGGGGAGGGGAAGTGATGGGACGGCCACTCGGTGGCCCCGGGAGGCTGGAGGTTTGGTGCGATGGCCCAGGAGGCTGCTATAGGGAGCCTGGGGAGAGACAAGGGTCTGGCCTGCTCAGGGTGCTGGAGACGGAGAGAGGACACCCACGTGACTGGGGGGGGGGATGCAGGGGAGGAAGATGCAGGGGAGGACCTGGTCCAGAGCCCGGTGACGCAGAGGGGCTGATGTCATGGAGAGGAGGCAAAGCAGACGCAGGAGCGGTGCCCTGATGGGAACTGGGTGTGCAGAGGACAGCTTCCGGGGGACTGGACAGACTGCTCACAAACCACTGGGGCCAGCAGCTCCATCAGGAGGACCCAGGGTTTGCTTCCGGGCTCATTCTCTGGGCCGGGGCAAGCTGCCTGCGTGGAGGAGGGGGCCAGGCTAAAACTACCCGGCCTGCAAGGCCAATTCTGCTAGAAAACCTGGTCCGGGCAGGTGGAGTCCGAGAGAGGAAGCCCTTGCAGGGCAGAGGGCAGCTCTCTGTGTTCAGAAGGCTCACGGCTGAGCCTGGGGCCCAGCCAGCCTTCTTGGGAATTTGGAGTCCAGTGATCTTCTGTAGCTACGTCTCTTGGGACTTCGGCATTTTCCGCTGGCCTTTCCGTCTAATTGGAGGCAGGTGGCCTCCCTGGAAACCATGGCTGGGAGGACTGGGGAGCTCCCAGTCTGTGCCTAAAAGCCCTTGGCTAAAGCTGGAGGTGGGGAAGGTGTGGTGCATGCCCAAGCCCCCTCCCTCCCTCCTTTGTGCACTGTGCTCGTGCAGGTCACACGCAGACCCCGACAGCTTAGAGGCTTTTACACTAGGACTTGTGAATGCTCCTAAAAGCCTTCTGGGTAGATACTGTCAGATCCCCATTTTACCCGTGGGAAGAGGCAGCACAGACACGACCGTCATTGTGTCCAAGGTCACGCCCTGCGCTTTGACCGAGCATTTAGCACGCATGTATCAAGTGCCGCTGTGCTGTCCCCGGCTGGCTGCTGGGCTCCCAGCGCCGGACAGGAGTCCAGGCCCTACCCTTGGGGCCTGTGTTCTAGTGGAGGAGACAAGTGGCAGGCACACAGGCAGATGCCCAGATGGTGTGGACACTGCCGAGTGCCAGGCAGAGAAGAAACCAGGGTGACTGTGAGAGCCTGGGGTCACCTCTTCTGGGTCATTTGGGGGTGCAAACTGAATGAGGAGTCAGTTTAGCCAGCGGGTGGTCTGGGCATGCATGGACTGAGGACCCAGACTGGGCTGGGGTCCTGCTGACCCCCAGAGCCAGAGAGGGGCCCCGTGGGAAGGGCGGATGGGCCCAGGTGCCACAGAGGTCCTGGCGTGAGCCCGAGGGCAGGCATGCGCCCGTGCCTGCGCCGTGGGTGAGGGGGGGCGCGGGCTGCCCCGACCGGGAGTGTCACCGGGGGATTTAGGAGGGCAGGTATGGGCTGGGGAGGATGCGACGATTCTGCCTTTGTCCTGAAACCATGCAGTAATTATAGGAGTCTTATGGAAAGGTTTTAAATGTGATGGGAAATTGCCCAAAGCCCATGTCTTTTGACATCTGGGTACTCCTCGCAGACTGTCAGCAGACACACGCCTTCTCCCCGGGGATCTCGTGTGCGAGGCACACTCAGTAGCGCTGGCCGCGGGCCAGGGGCTGCTGGGAACCTGCCTGCCTGGGCTACCTCCCCGGGCCCCGAGGGAGCGAGGGGCGGAGAGGTCTGGTGACCTCCCCACACTGGCCCGCAGAGGGGCGCGGGGCTGTGATTTCTGGCCTGAGAGCGGCGGCGTCAGACCTCCCTGGGAGCCCCGGCCCCATGCTCCCCCCGGAACTGGGGTTCTCGCCCACCACCAGCCCACCGCGGCGCCGCCCCGGCACGTTCCTCCCCAGCCCGTGTGTGGGCAGCGGAAGAACTGTCTGTCGTCCCCGGCCCGGCCCGCAGAGGGCAGGGGGAGGGACTCCGTCGTCGTGGCCTGGCGTCTCCCACTGCCCAGCGCCTTGCAGGACCCTGTGCGCGAGCCGAGGAGGGCAGGACGGAGCGGAGGTGGGGGGTGGCTGGCTTGCTGGACGGGGGCTGCGGCTTCCTGCCGCCCAGACGGGGCGGGGTTTGAGCTGCTGCTGAGACGTGGGCGTCCCCTGGGTGGTGCCCCTGCGGCTTCTGATCTTCCCTGTGCGCTGTGTGAGCATGGACACGCCGTGGCTTCTTACCTGACTGTTGTGCTTGGCAGCCCTGGGGCCTGGCACGGGGCTGGCATGAACGGCTTCTGAACGTGCCGGGCAGCCCACCCGTGGGAGGGCCGCTCCCTGGCCACGCCTGGTCACTTCACGCCGACACTCCCGCAGCCGGTATCCTGGGAGGACCCTCCGGGGTGGGGGGACCTCCATCGTGAGGCCTCCCCGTCGGAGCGCACGGGAGCTTTTCCGTGACTGGGGTGTCACGCCTGTGTCTCGCCACACGTCACGTGCTCTGTGGCCCTGCTTTTGACCCCAGGCAGGCGCCAGGCTACGAGGACCTGCGCGCTGGGGAGGCCTCCGGTTCAGAGGACAACAGTCTGTGGCCCGAGAGGATGTTGCGTAGGCCGTGGCGCTCACCTGGTCTGGGTCACAGCAGCCCTGCCCGGCAGGCCTCGCAGCCCCCCTCCCCGACAGCCCCCCGCCCCGGGCACTGCCGGAGGAGCACCGCGGCCCCAGCCTGCGAGGGCACTGGAGGCTGAGCTGGTCGCGCGCGCCGGGAACCGAGAGCTGCGCCGGGCCCACTCGCTGGCTGGATGCGAGCCTGTCAGTGCCCTGGGAAAACACTGGTTTGGCCCCAGGGCCCCGGGGCGGGGCCTACTGCCTCTGCTTCTCACTGTGCTGTGTTTGAGTGGGTCATCTGTTGGCGGCTTTGCACGGTGACACTGGGGGGGGGTTCTGGGCGCTCCCACCGGGAGGCCCAGACTGGAGAGTTACCTCCCCTCCCTGGGTCTCCCTGGCCCCATCTATAAAAGCAGACTGCTGGAAGCTTCCTTACAGCGAGAGAATGTGCGTGGAAAGCACTTGGCAAACTGTCAGGGACGAAGAGAAGGTCAGGAGGAGAATGGCAGTGTGGGAGGCAAAACCCCAGTCCCGTTTTCTTCTGCCAGGGAAGTGGCAGGTGGGCCTAGAATCTACAGGAAGACCTCAAGGAGCAGCCCCCCTGACCCGCCTTGAGCTTTCAGAGATTGAGCAAAAAAAGCTGGGCCCGGGCGGGGCGCGGCTCCCGGAGGAGGTTCCCGGCCGCATCCCCGGCTGGCCCTGAGGTCTCCCAGCGCCCACGTCCACGGCGCAGCAGCTGTGGCCAGCCATCCTAGCGGTGGCCCGAGGTGCCCAGAGATGCGGTCCTCAGAGGTCCCGTCACGTTGTCCACATGGTGCCTGCCCCGGGCAGGTAAGTGGACACCCTGAGCGGCTGGGTTTCTTGCTAAGCCCCGGGAGTTGGTCAGAGTGCCCTGGGCGGCGCTCGGGCTACAGGTCCCGGCTTTGCGTGTACCAGCAGGGTGACCACAGCCGAGACAGACGGCACTCAGTGTGCCGAGCCTCAGGATCATCTGGGCTGTTGAAGCTTACAGATTGCTCCCACACGGATGTGCCGAGTCAGACCCCTCGGGTGGGCGGAGAATCTGGGCTGTGACCCTCTTCCTGGTGACCGTGGAGGTGGCCGAGGCCAGGCACCGGTCTTAGCTGCGGTCTCCCTTTGCTGTCTGATGGTGAGGCCGGCTTTGGTTGCTCAGACACAGGAAGCGGGGCTTCCACGAGATGGAAGGGCGACCTCTGTCCCGTTAAGACTCCCGCGGGAAGGCGGCGGGGCTCTGTGAGGTCACCCTGGAGCCCCGATTCTGTCTTCTACTGCCCTGGAGCCCCGATTCTGTCTTCTGCTGCCCTGCCAGCCCCCAGGGTATATCACCCTTCCCCGCGCAGTCAGCCAGCCGGGGAAGGGCTGCGGGAGAGAGTGGACAGACCTCCACTCCTGTCCCACCGGCCAGAAGTTAGCCCCACGGCCTCTCCCGGCTGTTGGGAGCACTGGGCGCCAGGTGCCCGCCTAGCCCTGGGGGCTGGCTGGGGGAGCCGATCGCGGCCGCGCCCACCTCCCCTGTGGGCTTGCTGAGCCCCGCAGCTATTGTGTGGGCTGGCCACGTCAGCTGTGGGGGGGCAGTGGCTTAGGTTGGCTCCTGAATAAGGAAAGGCAGCCTGGGGTGTAGGGTCTTAACTGTTTGCGGTCCTAGACCTTTTGCGAGCTGATGAGAGCTATGGGCTGGTCTCCCCCGGCCCTCATCTCCCCAGGGTTCTGTGACCTGTAGGGACAGAGCCTCTTCCTTCGTGGATAGCTGCCTGGGAGAGCGCCCCCCCCCCAAACATGCTGTCTGGGGTCCTTGGGGACGTCCTGCTGCTCTCTGGGTCACAAGGTCACACTGCTCCCTAATAGGACCTGTAGGCCTTGTGTGACTGCCTCTCTGACCCAGGCCACCCTTCCCAGCGTGTTCCCCATGCTGCTGTCTGCGAGGCCGGCCTGCCCTGCCTCTGGGCCCCCCATGACCCCCCCTCCCCCCAGATAAGGCCTACTACAAACCTAGCTCCCAGGAGGCTTTTCTGACTTGGTTTCTGGTAGATGTAAAATGACAACTAGCATAAGCTCTTCAGTGAAGCAGGAAGGCCACCGTCCTGTTACACACGTGCCCCCCGAGCACCGCTGTTGGAGAGGTCGGCCCTGTCATGACATAAATCGCTGTCGGGTGGTCCAGGGGCTGTGCCGAGGCCAGGACCCATGCCCGCTTTTGCTCATTTGTGTATTTCTCCTCTCGGCCCCGGGAAGGTGCTCAGTAAACATCTGGAAGGGGGTTACCTGGAAACCCTGGAGACCCACACTGGTATCCCTCCAGCCTCGGTGCACGCATCTCAGGGGCCTTTTCTATCTTTCAGAACACCCAGTGCATTCCAGAAGGCTTGGAGAGCTACTACGCGGAGCAAGACTCCAGCGCCCGGGAGAAATTCTACACCGTCATCAACCACTACAACCTGGCCAAGCAGAGCATCACACGCTCGGTCTCACCCTGGATGTCCGTTCTGTCAGAAGAGAAGCTGTCCGAGCAGGAGACCGAAGCCGCTGAGAAGTCGGCCCAGTGAGGTGGGCAGGTTCCTTACGATGTGTCACTTGAAGGTAACAAAGGGACTCGGAGGGACGTTTCATTAAATATAATTCCCGATAATTTAGAGGTCGCTCATTTATGGTGCAACTGCTTGTTTGCTGATGCCGCTTTGCAAATAAACCTTGCTGCCGGCCGCCCGCGGGCCCAAGTGCATCTCAGCACTGCTTAAAGAGCTCTGACACCACTTTCCGTGATAAGGAGTCTTAATTTAGCTACTTTACTGGGACTTACTGGATGGTATCAAAAAATAAATTTACACCAGATACGCAAGGGGTTTGGATTCAGATAATGCATTTTGTGGAATTTGTTTACCACCCTCCCACCCTCGCTGTTTGCAGTCCTTACTCCACAGCCATATTTAGAGGGAGCCCCACTTTGCTAAGAGCAAGCTGTACTTCAGAATTTCTTCCAACCTCCAATCAGGCGGCAACAGTGCCGTCTCCAGGACGCATGGTAGTGAGCGGTGTAGAGAAGGAAGGAAATAGGGCAAGCGCGCTTTCCCCGTGCTCATCCCTAAGTTGCAAGTGTCCCGCAGCCAGGCACACTCGGGGGGCTCTGTTCCACACCCCCACACACCGGAGTTGGCATCTTGGTGCAGAGAGCACCCTTGTTTCGCTCCAGTGCATGCAGACCGTGTCCCAGCATGTGAGGTGAGGGGCTATGGAAAGCGAGGTCCCTGGGCCGCGGGCTCCAGGACTGTGTCAGAAGCCCTGTAGGTAGTCCGTCTGCTCTGTGATGTGTTGAATAGGAACGAAACCCCTTTGGTCTTTACGTGCTCTTCTGTTATGAATAAATTCGCACCAACAGCCCTGTTAGCCCCTAAGTTAGTTTTCAAAAACTTATTTGTGTTGGAAAAGTGAAAATGTAATTGCTGGGAAACCAAGACTAATTTTTATTTTGTGAACCAGAACTCCTTTGATATAAGAAGCAGGCAGGAAAGGCTGGGCGGGGCTGGTGTGGCAACTTGCAAACCCAATGATGACATTTCAATTCACAATCTTTGTAAGAAAATGCTATTTCAACCTGAATCTTGACATTAAAGTATATGTTTACAAAATTGCCAGTTAGATAAGTGTGTAAGACGATTAAATAGAAAAAAGACATATGCAGACCTTTTCTTCCATGTTATTTGAATGTGTTGTTTCTGGTGGACATGTCAAAAGTTTCACTGTTTTTTAGTAGATCAAAAATAAATGACAACTAGTGCAAGATCTGTTGCAAACAAGCCTGGTGGCCACGGCCGACTCCGTTACTGCTTCCTAAACCTGATTTTATTATCAAGGGTGTTCTGAAACCATGACCGTGGGCTCGGGGAAGGGGAGCGTGCCTGAGCTGCATGCAGTGAAGGCCGCGAGGACGCACGGCGAGCAGGGACCGTACATCTGTGAGCGCGGCCAGGCCCGTGGACATGCCCCACTGAGGTGACACACCCCTCTGTGCGTCTAGTAGACATTTTATTGATGTAAATTCACTCACAGGTAACTTCTGACACTTTCACTGGGCACGCAAGGAACACAGACTCGTACCGCACACGGGGGAGCCATCCGCACGCACACGGGGGTGCGGCCCCGCGAACACCTGCGTGCTTTCTGCACAGACGTGGCTCCAGAAGTCTTGGGCTCCCCACTGCAAACAGGCGTTCCTGTTTCCTCGACGGTCAGGCGCACAGTCCAGGAGCTGCAGGCCAGGTTCCTGCTCTGGACAAAAGCTCCTTGGGCCCCAGGGGCCCCTTGCCAAGTGCCCAGAGTCTGTCCCCACACTTCTGCCCCACCCGGCAGGCAGGCGTCCGCTGCACATCTCTGCTCAGACCCGCTGACAGGACACGAAGGAGCTCTAGTTGCATTTATTACATTAACGGGGCAAAGGTGCGTTCTCTAGAATATGGTGACTATCACAGGGCTCAGGCAGATAAGATGCCACAGGAAACAAAGAAATGATCATTGTTGTGAAGTTACTAGCCAGCGCTGTTCCTGAAGCCACCAGAAGGCCAAGGCGGGAGCCTCCCTGAGCCCGGCCTTCAGGCAGCCCCTCCACATGGTCTCTGGTGCAGCCGGAACCGGAACCGCCCCCACCCCCACCCCCACCCCACCTTGCGTCAGTTTCGCTACACAGGCCCCTTTCCCTTTGTGTTCGTTATTTTCTTTCTCAGCTACCCAATGGGCTTAAACCACAGGTGTGGGTGTCCCTTCGTGGGAGTGTCCGTCTGTCCCAGCCCCCTTCCCCCCAAACGGCTCATGATACAATCTGCTCGCAGCCCCGCTCCGCTGCTGGAGACCCTCAAGGGCGCGCCGTCTGCCAGGAGCAGCGGGGACAGGCTAGCCGTCGTACCAGTCCAGGAAGAGCAGGGAGAAGGAGCACATCACCAGGAAGAAGAGGACCCACACGCGGAAGCCGGCGTTGTTTTTAATGGCCTGGGGCGGGGGGGGGGCAGTAGCTCAGGGATTTGCGTCACCAGGGATTTTTGCTTTCAGAAGCCCTCGAGTGCCCCACCTGTCCGCATGCACTCTCCCTCCGCTGGGCTGTAGGTGCCCTGCTGGGCCTTTGCTTACCGTAGTCACTCGGCAGGACCACAGAGTGGGTTTAGAATCCATCAGCAAAAAGGTATTTCCCTTACCCGCTGGCCCTCACTCAGAGATCCTGCGCCTTTCTCCCAGGAAACACCCAGAAATGGCCCACGCGTGTCCCAGAGTTAAAGCCACACACACGACCGGCCACGGTCCCCCAAGAGTACAGTGGCAGTGGTGGCCCATCAACCCAGCCCGAGCCCCACGCTCAGAGGACAGAGTCCGCTCGACAGAGCCCACTGTGGTGGCCCCAAAAAACAGGGACCAGGGCCCTGGCCCTCGGGGTGGGGCAGGGGCGCTCAACAAGCTTCTCCAGCAGCGCCCACCCCTGGACTGAGGGAGCTGGTCCGGCCCTTGCCAACAGTGACCTCATGCGCCTCAAATGGCTCCTCTGGAGGCCGGTGAGTCACAGCTCTTGGTAACGGCGGGGGCCCAGGGTTTGGTGGGGGTGGAAATGGGACCGTCCGGCGCCACCAGGTGGGGAGCCCTGGGGGCTGGGCTCCAGCAAGGCGGTCAGGCCGCCCCGACTCGGTGCCACACTGGGGAGGCCTGGGGGGCCCAAAAGTTCTCACCTCTCTGATGTCTTCATTACCCTCCTTGATATTCTCGGTTGCCCCGACAACTAACTGGTGAATGCTGTCGATCTCGGCTTCCTGGGGAAGGAGAGTGACAGGTAGACCCAATCTCTGTCTCCTTCCCCAAGCGTACAGACATCAGAAGCCACCAGCTGCCACTTAACGAAGGGCCGGGACTTTACAAATATGAGCCCGTGAGTCCTCATGGTGCCCCGAGGGGTAGGCAGCAGCCCCGTTTTGCAAAAGGGAAACTTAGGGTTCAGAGAAGTTCGGTAACTTGCCCAAAGTCACAGAGCAACCAGGCGGCAGGACCAGGACTAGAACCCAGGGCCTGTGCCCCCTTCCACCCCCAGCTGCGACCTGCGGTGCCGCGTGCCGGGCAGGAAGGGACGAACACGAGAGCTGCCGACTACACAGTAGCCACCACAGGCCAGGGCCTTCCCCTCTGGTCTCTACTCTTTCTGACGTCCAGAGACGTAAGCTTCCACACACGTGTGCTTTAAAACACATGCTAGAGAAGAAAGGGCTAAAATGTACACACATTAGCTCCCACGTACTGAGAGGCTGCCCTGAGCCAGGCGTGGGTCTGGTACCTCTAGGCCAGCTCTGAGCGCGAGGCAGGGGACACCCGACCCGTGCCGTGGAGGGCACCCCGGGTCGGAGCCAGCCCGTCTGACCCTGCCTGGCCTCTGAGCGCTCCTCCCATGCCCAGCTGCCTCTAGAAACAAGGCGTGTGCTCTGACACGGACCGCTGACCTTGCTGTTTTAGGTGTCAGGAAGCTTCTAAGTGAAGAGTTCCTTCAGTGTGCTATTAAAAAGGACAGCCCTTACGAACCTGAACTCGCAAACTGTTAGGCCTCGTGGCTGTGAGGTTTAGGGCAGGTTTTGTGAGTGGGGTATCTTAAGCCAACTAGCCCAGTTTCATACAACGGAGCCAAATGATTCTGTCTTTGAAACCCTTCCACGGTCTGCGGATGCTCCAAACAAAAGGACAAACTGATCAGGTCTGTAACAGTTTTGCCAGTTACTGGCTAGAGGAATTTTAGCCGGGGAGGCAGGTACAAGTAACATGAAAATCCTCTTACGGGAACAATCCTGTTTGCTGTGTGGACGTGACAGCTGAGGGCACGGACCTGGCATTCGGAGAGGGCCGAGTCTGGGCTCTCGTAAAGGTCGACTGAGAAGCTACCACCCAGCAGGCGTTGTGCCGGATGCTTCCTGTGGGTTATCTCTGAGCCTTACAACGGCCCTGCAAGGGTCACTCCACTTTACAGACGGGCAAACCGTAGCTGGGAGGCCACCCTGGTTACCCGAGGGCATCCAGAACGAAGATCTACCTGACTCCTCTCACCATGTGTCCCACTGCACGCTCGCGGTGAGCACTCGGTCTGGCCTGGGCCGGCCAGTGGGTCCAGAGCAGAGAGCTCCCCGCCACGCACAGCAGCTGCACCAGGGGGACGAGAGGCCCTCCCCCGAGGAGCCCTCTGAGTGCCCACTGGCCAAGGCACACGGCTCTGGATGCTCGGCTGCAGAGATCAGGCAACCTCTCAAAAAATACCCGGACTTCATAGTATATTCTTTTAAGCTAAAACTTTAAACAATTTTTTTTCTTTCTTACCTGTTGTAAAACCTTCTCTGTGAATATCTCTTGGAGTCTGGAAATTTCAACCACTCTCCCTTCGATTTGCCTTCATTAAAAAAAAAAAAAAAAGTCACAGACAACCATTAGTACTTGGTAGTCCTAACAAGAATGCTACACATTTCTAAAGGGACCGTCTAAGTGAGAAATGGAGGGGACACCACCACAGCCTCCAGAGAGGGAGGGGGCACCATGTCGGGCTCAGGAAAGGAGATAGACATTTTACTTCCTGACTCTCCTTTGAAGTCTCTCAGCTTGGGGGCGTGTACTACAATTTAGAAACCTGCCCTCCCCTCTAAGCTGACCCACTGTGCCCCTGCCTTGGAGTCCGCACCCCTGGTTACAAAAGACAGTCTTCTAGAAGGCCTGTACCCAATCTAGTAACCACAGTAACATGGTGGGGATTCAAAAGAAACCACCAGAATGTGCTGACAACTCAACTTTGTTACTGCTCAGTAGGTTGAAGGAGAGCATATTTGTCACTCAAACCGACTTCCTGTTGAAAGGAAAAACTATGATTCCATCTGAAAAATATGTCTGGGTTCAGCAACCAAGTGTCTGAGCTTCTCCCTGTTTCAGGGCCAGCAAGGGTGCCCCCGGGGGCGGGCTGGGGGCTGGAGTAGGTCTAGAAATGGGGACGGCTGAGCTCCCAGCCCAGGAGGCCCGCTCTTAAGGGCAGGAGGCGGCCACTCCTCCCAGAGCTTCTAGGCGCGGGAAGGGAGAGCGAAGCGGATGGGGCCAGGGACGATGAGGGCGGAGTCTCAGGGCAAGGACCAGGAGGCCCACAGGAGAAGGGCGAAGGCCACAGAAGAGCACGGGAGCTGTCAGAGGGAAACTCCTGCAGGTGGAATCCCCAGGGCTCTGTGGGTACAGCGCCGGGATGCGTTTTCTTTTGGGATGAGCCCACAATGCAGCGGCAGGGTTTCTGTGCCCTGCAAAATCCCAGGCCCCCCGTTCGGATGGTTCAAACATTCTCCGGGAAACAGGCCCCAAGCGCTTCCCCTAGAGGGCCAGCCAGCGATGGTTCACATGGGCGAACACAGCCACTTGCCTTTGGTGCTGCCGACCCCTTTGCTGCGGGAGCAGAGAGACCCTGGCAGAGCCAAGTGCAGGAGGCTGCTCCGGCCAGCGGTTCTTCACAAGGCCCCCATCTCACTGGGGAGTCATGCGGTGCAAACAGCCCCCACATGGGGCACTCAGTATCTGGTGCAATTTGCAGTCACTGGGAGCAGCACATGGGGGGGGACCTCCCACGGGCCCACAAGCTGAGGGGAGTCAATAAAGTTGGGCAGCTGCCTTGACCCCCGAATGGCTCAAGGTGTGGGGGGGTGCTTGTGGCCAGGGCCACAAGTGGATGCCGGGGCCCCAAAGTTAGTCAAGTTCCCAGTTTCTGGGAAAGCTATCACATAGGCCATCAGCCCAGAGAAACCACATACACACCTCACTTCATCAAACAGGCTGTTCATTTCACCAATTAGGCGCTGGTTTTCTTGTTCAAACTGCAAGGAAAGAAACACATTAAGGATGATGTCATACTCAAAACAACACAGCCAAAGGCAAGCATCTAGCAAGGCGTCTGCACAGAGATCTTTGATCTGCCCGCTAAGGATCGCCACTGAGTCCCTCTTTCTGGCATCAGCATGACAACATCCCTGTGGCTAGACCTGTCCCCGCCTGCAAGCCGCCCTGATGCTCGCGAAGGTGAGCCATGGAGGCGCGGGCGGCCTGTCATCCTGCCCCTGCTCCCTTCCGGCTCCCACGGCCCTGAACTGCTGGCCTCTGGGCCCGTCCATTTTAAGTGGAGCAGTGAGGCCCAGCAGCTTAGCTGGGAGCCACGCTTGGCCAGCCCACCACCACAGGAGCAGGGGTCTGGGATCCAGAGGAGCTGTCCTGCCGGGGCTCAGGCTGGAGACCAGGCTTCGGGACTCGGTCTGGGTGAGACGCCACCCTGACACGGGGGAGCTCGTCAGAGCCCAGGTGACTGTGGAGCAGACAGCTGCTCTCCCGGCCCTTCTTGCCCACTTGACCCTGGCCCAACAAAAGGATGGCGTGTCTGAAGCTTTGCCATGGTGCGGGGCCAGATGATATCCTCCCCCCAACCTACAGGACCAAGGACCCTTCCTTCGCATGCCCACTCAACCCACAACTCCTCGCCCACGTCCCACAGACCCAGCTCCAAGGCTACCTCCTCCGTGACCTATGTTGGGCCCCTGAGCTTGAAGCTGTTTCTAATTTTTCTAACCTTGGCCTAGCACCTTCCGAACGTCTCTTAGGAGATCTTAGGCCCTGTCATAAGCTGTGCATGTCCCAAATGCCCCGTGTGACTATGAGCTGGCTGAGGGTGGGAACCATGTCAAACCCGACTTGGAAAGGACCGCACGCCCATTCTTCCTCTCACATCTGTTAAAGCTGCAGCTACGTCCACGGCTACTTTTGGAGACACTGTCCGTGCCAGGCGCTGCATGGGGAGCAAATGGAAGCAAGCTCTCGCCATCCGGAGGATTTGCCATCCGACTGAAGATCCGGCTACCCCTTGCCCAGTAAAACAGCAGAGGGAAGAGAAAATGCTTATGGAAGTCACAACGGTCACCAAGGCCGTGCTGAGCATGTCACACGCAGGGACCCACGGTCTCCCTGCCGCCCCATCTGGCTCCCACTTCACGGGGAGGGAAGGAGCTGTGCTCGCTCACCTCTGCACCTGCCCACCCTGCTCCCTTTGCTACACCTCCTCACCCCTCCCTGCGTTTCCCCGTCCTCCCCTTGTGCTTCGCTCACTCTCACTCACTGGACACGGTGGTGGGGGGGGGTCATTTCCTCCTCTCATGTCCCTCCAGCCCTCCATGTGGGTGCCCTCCGTCCTGTCACCACAACCTTGCTGCACCCATTCCTTCCCTGGCACCTAAGCTCTGCCCTCATCGTCTTTCAGTCTCTTCCAGTCTGTCCCCCACTCCTCGGTCAGAGCGATCTAAGATGCTGGTCACATCACACCGCACCACACCGGCCCCGTCCCGTGGCCCTGCAGATCAGCGCAGAGATGCGGCCTTCTCCTGGAGCTTGCTGCTCCCCCTCAGCACAGGCTAGCTGAGAGCTGATGGGAGTTCCCCAGCTGGTCCCTCGAAAGCCAGCCCAGCACCTTCCTAGTGACCAGACACATCAGGCAGAATTAATCACCTTCCTCCATCTCCTCTTGTAAAAAGCTCCTCTGCACTTGGCCCATCGCTACATTTCTCGCCCCTACTGGGGCATCTTCCCTCCTGGGGTGGGCCCTTCCCCTCTGGCGCCCCCATCGCAGGGGAGGGCCTGACACGCTCCAGGGCACCAGTCCCCAGCCCTGCTGCTTGTCCAAACACAAAGACACCTCCACTCCGAGACCCCAGACCCACTGGGTCAGAAGACTGGGGTTGGGGGGGCGAGCACAGCTTGCAGAGGGGCAGATATGCTGGGGAAGCGTCTGAAGGGCCACCCCAGCCCCCGGCGGTGGGCTGCCTTGCTGGCTGCCCACACGGTACCCAGACGGCCCTTCTCATTATACATGGAGCAGGCTGTTTAAGGGAATAAAAACTTCACTTTTGAGTTTGAAGGTATCGGCTCTGTTAACAGTTACTTAAGAGTCCAGTATTTGGGGCGCCTGGGTGGCTCAGTCGTTGAGCGTCTGCCTTCGGCTCGGGTCGTGACCCCGGGGTCCTGGGATCGAGCCCCGCATCGGGCTCCCTGCTCTTCGGGAAGCCTGCTTCTCCCTCTCCCGCTCCCCCTGCTTGTGTTCCCTCTCTTGCTCTCTCTGTC